CCCTGCTTTTATTTAAAAAAAAAAAAAAGGGGGAGGGGGGGAAGGGTTCTATATACCTGGAAGTTAAGCAGAAATGAAAAAACTGGGTTTTTAGGATATCATTGTGATGTGAAATCATTGTGACAACTCCATAGGGTTTAATCTGCTTTTTCTATGGAGGCAGATCAAAACTGGTAGATATTTTAGCATTAACATCTTAGTGAAGTGCTTGACTGTGTTAACTATTGCTGCCAAACTTTTCTGAAACTCATGAAATGGATAGGGAGGAGCATCAATACTGAAATGTAGGAAAATAAGTTCAGGATAACTGTCAGCACTAGCGTATGACTTTCAGTGCTATGTTAGCTTTGTGTGTGTCCTATTGTGGGTGATCCTATCTTGAAATGAAGTCAAATGATCATAATTTCTGTGACAGATGTTTATTATAGACTTTATCATAGCACAATAGTAGAGGCAAGTTGTGAAGAAATAAACCTTTGCTTATAAAGACAGTTAAGTTTGGTAAATAGCAAACATAAGGTTTTGAAAATTCACCTTCGAACAAATAATTTTTTTCTGTGCATGAATCTTCTTGTGTTCACAAGATCGTGATTTGAATATAAGGGATGAAATCCTGACTCTTTTGGAAATAAATGAAAGATCTTGTTTGTCAGTGAGATTATGATTTTTACCTATCATCTTTGTTAAAAGATACAGCCCCCTTCTGTATGGAGGAACCGCTCTCTTGATCGTCTGTCGGTTGAGCTGGAAGAACCAAATAGTTCATTTTTTCTGTAGTGAATCACCATTTACTTCTGTGTTACTAGGTTGATTGTATTATAAATAAAATCTGTGCAGTGAACTTTAGGGGTGACTCTTCAGAGATTGTTTCATATTTTGCTTTGGTGTGCACTTCGGTCATATTTCCAGCATGACAGCTGTATCTTCAGTGGCTGTCGCCGATTTTCTTAAGAAAAATGTGCTATTTGGTTTCTGATCTGTATTTAAAGGATGCACTGATTCACTTAGTTGGCATAATTGGAGGGTGAATGTGGAAACGTTGCACAGTCGTAGCAACAGAAGTGTTTGGGCATGCGTATGTGCTAGGCACTTGTTACATTATTAATGTGACTAATTCTTACCACTTGGGAAGTAACTTCAGTATGACTTTCTTGTTTTAAAAACAAAAAAAAAAGCAACAAAAAATACTTGTGTATGTACTGGAAAGGAAAACTAAAACAGATGGGAATACTTCCATAAACTTGGGCACTCAGTGAGCAGTGCTTGGACAGGCTGTCACATCTCATGATATTGCAAGCCACCATACCCTGAAAAAGTCCTGCAAAGAAAACGATGCTTCCTCTGTTCATACGGCTCTGGACAAACCGCCTCATCTCAGTCATCCACTGAAGACTCCATATGTAATCTTTCTGCAACTGGAAACTTTCATCGATGAAAAATACTGCCATTGTTCGTGAGTGGTAGCATTAAATACACTTGATTATGTATTTTCCTCTGTTAAATGTCTAAAGCTTAACTGAGCTCTAGCAAATTCATTTTTCCTCTGAGTGGGTGCTGTTGCTATGATGCTGGACAGCATCAAGCTGTCTCATCACAGTATGTGAGGCAAATTTGTGATAATATGATACTAACGGGATGAATTTTGTGAACCTGTTTTGGATTTTTAGTGCTGTGAAATGTGAGAAGTTGCACATTTTCTTCATCTCACTGTTATGAACAGTAGTAATGACATGATCTTTCGCATCATGACTGTGTTCTGCTTCAAAATATATTTAGTAGCTTGCCATTACTTGCACTGGTGTGTCTCATTATTTTAAGTCCCCAAATTGCTCAGTAATTTATATAAAATACTCTGGGTCAAGGCTTTCACTTTTTTGAGGTGAGTGGAAAACTTACTCGTGTTTCCAGGAGCCTTGATCTTTTTAAAAAAA